GGGGGGGGCAAATAGCGAACAACAGCCAAAGATCGAGAGACACACAGAGACAGAGAAGGAGGGAGAGTGTTACAGACAGACAGACAGACAGACAGACAGACAGACAGACAGATAGACATCCCCCCCCCTCCACGAGACACTTTTTAGCCAGGGTTGCAATAGTATAAAAGCAGTCTCATGGAAATATATAAAACAAAAGACTGTCTGACTTGAGGGATCTGTAAGCTGAAACTAAAGTTGATATGTCGATGTCAAACTACATCTCAGGTAAAAGCTTTGTTTCAATGGGATCTGACGTGACGGATATACAAAAAATGTAAACAAATCTCTATAAAACATAAACTGACCAACATCTTCCCATCCCACCCCCTACTCATCTATCATCACTTTGTTTCACGTTCTCAGCCTGCGAGCTGTACGGCCTGGTGGGAGGCATCTTCGGCCTCATGTCCATCAACACGCTGGCGGTCATCGCGTTCGACCGCTACTCCGTCATCGCCCGACCCATCAAGGCGTCCAGGACCTTGAGCTACCGCAAGGCCTTCATGATGCTGGTGTTTGTGTGGTGCTGGTCCACCACCTGGACCATCCCGCCTCTCTTTGGCTGGGGCGCCTACATACCCGAGGTGAAAAACCTTGTTTCGTTTCATTGTTGTAATTCTGGGGGTTTAAGTACATCACCAAATACTCAGGCTGTAAAGGAAGAGGAAGGCCACGCAAAAGATGGATTTCGGGAGTCAAGGGAACCCTTAGAAATTATAACATCTCAATTGAAAGAGCTCCAGAACTCGCCTACCATATAAAACTACATCTCCCCTCGACGCTTAACGGCAACAGAGAATAAAAAAGTAAAAGTAAAATACGTGTAGTTCTACGGCGCTTGCACGGTGGAAATGGGGTGTGAGCTTTCAAACAGACTGAGTCAATAGCAGAGTAATGACGGTAGCAAAAGACACGGAACGTCCCTGGTTTTTTTCCCCAAGAAATATTCATAGTTTGTCTTTTTTAGTTATAGTTTTACGGCTCTTGCAACACAATTAAGTCGTATAACTGCCAAACTTTAGAAGTGTAACTAGAGAGTTACATACAACAAAAAAAGGAGGACAGTTGAGGACGAGAGATAATTGAAAGGAAAGAAGTTGCAAACCATTCCAGAGCCCACGCCAACCACCCATGGGACTTATTTTGAAACAATGCAAAATATCAAAATCCCTTTTTGTCCCTTTGATTTAAAAAAATACATTTCATATATCTCAGTGAGAAAATTAAAACATGGAAATGCCATGTAGCAGAGAAGTTTATCTCATTGCTTTCGGGCAAAAAGTGACCGAACAACTGGCCCTCGAAGCACCTCTGAAAGCGATAACCTTTCTATTGAATGATCAAGAAATGAGTAGAGCTGCCATATGCCCGGTTTTCGCTTCAGAAAGGTTTCTCATACAGAAGAGGGAAAAATGGGGATTCTGTAGTCTTTTGATTCACCTTTGTTTTTCATATTTACATGCGATCGGTTTAAGAGGACTCTATTATATTTAATATGTTCTAAATTAACATATTTGCTCATAAGGATAACGGTATCTGTCAAAGAATAAATGTTATCAACTGGTTTTCCAAACACAATCATTTAAATATCATTCCAATTTAAACCATAGTCTGTGCATCCTGGTCAAATCAGGCGCTGGTCAAATAATGTAATCGAAGAAACGGACATTTCCCCATCCATTTGTCAGTTTTTATTATTTTTTCATCAGCACCTCTTTGTCCATTTTTGAAACACATAGACTTATCTGTGTAGACTTTATACCAAAAAATATTGATCCAAGGCACACAAAAAAATGTTAATTTGCAGTTTCCAAGGACGCCCAAGCTTTGGAAGTCCCCGAACTTTGACGGCCACTTTCTCGCTAATTTGACCCCTGACACCAGGCGACCTCCACCTTCATAAATTCAAAATATTCCGACTTCTGTACAATAGAGATGGGTACTTTTCGCCAAAAAATAAGTAAACTTAACAACTTTTACTTAAGATGATATCAGTATCTCAATATACCCAAAGACTGACAATTCAACCGTGTCGTGACACAATTTTATTTTCTAACAACAGGGCTTCCAAACCTCGTGTACGTTCGACTACTTGACCAAGAACGAGTACTTCCGCTCGTACATCCTGTGTTTGTACATTTGTGGTTTTGCTTTTCCGCTCCTCATCATCTTCTACTGCTACTTCCACATCTACAGGGCTGTGGCCTTGCACGAAAAGGTTAGTACATTTATGTTGCTGAAGGAAATTTGACAAAATCGACGTAGCTAAAAGAAAACACAAATTCATACGCGCGCCCACGCACACACAAACACACACACACACGCGCGCGCGCGCGCGCGCGCACAAACGCTCTCCCACACAAATACACACATACACATAAACATACACATACACATACACACACACACGTGCGTGCGTGCACATCGATTCATGTAGGCATAAACAGCAATACACACACACGCTCGCACTAATTTAATGTACACACACAAGCACAAATAAGTACATACACGCGATCACAAGCACGCATGCACACATTCACAAACAAACGCACATACACTTTACCCCCACCAACGCACACAAACGTGCACACACATTAACGCAAACAGACATATAAACACACACACACACACACACACACACACACACACACACACACACACACACA